ACAGACCAGTACTGGTCTGTGGCCTGTTAGGAACTGGGCGGCACAGCAGGAGGTGAGCGGCAGGTGAGTGAGTAAAACATCATCTGTATTTACAGCTGCTCCCCATCACTTGCAGCCTGAGCTCTGCCTCCTGCCAGATCAGCGGTGGCATTAGATTCTCGTAGAAGCACATACCCTATTGTGAACTGTGCATGTGAGGGATCTAGGTTGTGTGTTCCTGATGAGAATGTACTGCCTAAGGATCTGTCACTGTCTACCATCACCCCCAGATGGGACCATCTAGTTGCAGAAAAACAAACTCAGGGTTCCCACTGACTGTACGTTATGGTGAGTTGTATAATTATTTCATTATAGATTACAACCTAATAATAACAAATAAAGTGCACAATAAAGGTAATGCATTTGAATCACCCCCAAACCATCCCCCACAATCCAACCCTGGTCCGTGGAAAACCGGTCTTCCACAAAACTGGTCCCTGGTGCCAGAAAGGTTGGGGACCACTGCTGTAGATCACTACTTTTTCTTACGGCTATGATAGACAAGAGTACAAATACATTTAAATATTGCTGAAAACCAAGACACTGCGTTAACTTATAGGTTCAGTAGCCAAATAAATTTCCTCCTCTTCCCTCATTTTGAATGTTACTATACATGAATACCCTGCTGTACCAGTTGCCTATTTTAAGTTTTTAAAAGTATAAATTTTTGTGAATGAGGAAGACTTACAAAGGTTTTTCGGGGTTCCCTGCTTTGAGCTCACTGTTATAGTTATTCTTTCTGCCTTACTTGGCATCAACCAGCAGGATATGAGTGATCTTTACCCTCTGGCTTCTCCTTGATCTCCTTAAGGCTAAATATTATTCTAGAAAAATCAGTAGTATCAGCTGAAAGGCCAGGGGTGAGTGCTGGGCTGGCCTTCTATTGAATGATAGCCCCTTACCTATCACCCTGAGTTGGAATAGTGACAGCAAGAGGAAAAAAGACTCACTTAGGAGAAGAGTCAAGTAATTTACCCATATTTCACAGTATTCATGCCACTTTGTTTAGCTTTAGAGCCAAAGACAAATATTCCAGTAAACATATCTTTAATGCTTCAGCAGCAAGTATAATTTAGTTAAGTTTGATGAACAAACTCAATCACAGTCTTGCCCCCACCTACCTTTCCGGTCTTCTCATCTGCCATTTTTGCTCACATACTTTTCAACTCCTGTCTCACTGAGTTCTTTCTATAATCCCTGGAAGCACCAGTCATCCCATGACTGTGTGTCTATCAAAAAAGCCATTCCCGCAGCCTGGAGTACTTTCTTCCCCTGTCAATTAGTTTTTTTTCAGCCTTTGAAACTCTGCTCAAATGCTGCTCCTTGTCAAAGCCTTAACTTACACATTGGGCTGCTAATAACTTGTGTTACCATGCTCACTTACCTCTTTATGAATCTGGTCATTTTTCTATCTCGTGCTACTAGGCTATATATAGGGTCTCAGAATGGAAAACTTTGTTGTACCAAGCACAGTATGCCAAGAAGGTATCAATTGATGAATCGTCAATACTTTGCCCAAAGTAAGCATTCAATAAGTGTGTCATTGTAAATAATTTCATTTAGGACTTGTTAAAATCTATTTTATCTGCTCTCAGTAAGTCTGAAAATGGAGCTCGGAAGAATAAGGTCCTTTTTGAGGGTCCACTACTATAATTTTGGGGTCCAACTGATGAGTGGTAAACCTACTGCTCACCATAGTAATGACATCTGAATCCTGGAACCACTGGTACTTGTGGTAAAATACTGGTTCTGTCTCTTCATCAAGTTAACATAGAAACGATCTGAGATATTGTATAAACAACTCTAAGTTAAATATCTCAAAGTCTGACTCCTTTTTGTACTGCTTTCCCAAATTCGGAGAGTACACTGTGATATTAATTATAAATATATTGTGTGTTGACCTGAAAATTAGACATTCTTCTAATTAGTAATATATATTTAAGTGATGTAAATCACACTACTATTGGTATTACATGAAAATTAAAAAAAAATACAATGTATTTCTATAGATATCCAAGTACTGCAGTGCCTCATTTAGCCAGCATATTTTGATTTCTCTTTAAAAAACATATAAATTATTTATCTAGCATGATCAAGGAATGAGGTACTTCACAAACCACTTTTCTGGATAACAAGTTTTATAAACATCACATATCTTCAACATTTTAAATATTCTCAATGGACACATGTCATATAACACAGTTCCACTTTTTAAAAAAATAGCAAAATAAATATAATCTCACTTTTTCTTGATGACTCAGGATCATTATTATCAATGTTAATTTCTGCACTATAGACCACCCTGGAACACAGTAATATCCTTAAGGTCTAATTTAAATGTAAGGCTGTTTGCCTTTATCCTAAGTGAATTCGGATTGTTTTTATCATTTTCTGCTTTTTATTTTCTCTGCCTCGTCCTTTTACTTACTGACATTTCTTTGTTGTTGTTGTAATCAGTGTGTTCTAATGGTTATTTTTCAGAAAACTCTTTAGGTGAGGTCCTGTGAATGGTTACATTCTCCTAGAGAGTTAAGTGCATGGGTGCATGGGCTTTGTGACTGTCATTTGCTAGTCAGAGGCCCTTTTCTTCCCTCATTATTTCTAAATCTACAACATGGCTGAGATTGCCAGAAGAGTAAGTGGTTTGTAAGTAATGTTAGCTTTCATATGTGTTTATCATTATGTTTATAATTTTCACTCAAGAATTATTAGTCATATTATTAAGATACATCTTAAATTAGTCATCAACTTAAATAAAAATTATGGTTCTTAATTAATTCAGATTTTCAAAGCCTGGCCATGAACTTTAGACTCAATATAGGATATGCTTTGATGTTACCATATTGCAGAGGGATATTCATCCTGTTACCAACTTTTTCAAAAAAATTTAAGAGTCACCATTCCATTCTAGCATGATGGTGTGAAAACTTCAAATTCTAACTCAATCCTTTTCACCAAACTTTGCATACTGAGTCAGTTTTACTCTATTCTTTCTGCATCATCAAAAAACAAGAGGAGGAGGTGAAAAATAAATGTTTTTCTTCATTCATGAGAAAAATAAAATAAAAAATAGGTAGCTATGTTTATGGAACAAAAAATTTAGTAAAAGACACTAAATCTGATATTTTAAAATTCCTGTCATAATTTGCTTAGAATATTAATCCAATACTTGCTTGTAATCTTTGAAAATGAGAACATTTGTAAAAATTTGAAAGGTGTCACAGTAACTGCTATTCATAAACTCTTCAAGGTCCTGAGATACAACAAGGGAAAATCTTGCTCCTCAGGGTTAGCACAAAATAAAACACTCATTTTGGTTATCTTATGAATGAATGCCAATTTATATATGTCAAAAAATCAGTTCCACTTAAAAGGTCATCCCAACTTTTAAAAAAGTATTAGAATAAAGACAGGCTATACCATATTAATTTGGCTGAATTAAGAGAAATCTTTTTTATTCCAAATAGAAAAGTCTATTTCTACCTTATTCTGATTTTCATTGTGCCTAGAATAATGACTAATCTCATGAAGCAATTCTTTTCAAGTATAAAAATAATTAATTTTAATAAAATGATATGATTAGGAAATAAATATATTTCTTATCCAAGAAAATAGGTTATTTAAAATATCGGTTACTCACAGTTATATCAAAAAAGTCCAGAATAGGTCTGTAACTGATAGTCAGCTGACCTGATCACATATGACCCTTCCATCTTAGCACTTTTTTTTCTTTAAAGAGATGGGGTCTTGTTTTGTGGCCCAGGCTTGAGTGCAGTGGCACAATTATGGCTCACTGCAGTCTTGACCTCTTAGGCACAAGCAATCCTCCTACCTTGGCCTCCCCTGGGACCACAAGCACACACTACTATGCCCAGCTAATTTTTTTTTTTTTTTTCATTTTTTATAGAGGCAGGGTCTCACTATGTTGCCTAGGCCGGTCTTGAACTCCTGGCCTCAAGCAATCCTCCCACCTCAGTCTCCCAAGATGCTAGGATTACAGTGTGAACCACTGAGTCCAGCCTCTTTTGTATTTAATGCTGATTCTCAATACTGCCTGGTCAATTTAAGCAGTTACTTTCTTTCAACGTATTTCTTAAGCACTTCCATGGTCATCTAAAAGATAAGCAAAGCACAGACCAAGTATTAGGATTAGAATTCACAATTGTCTAATTCTCTGTGAATTTAGTCTGCAACTTTATGAGTCTCAGCACTCTCTGCTTATGCTCCAGCTTTGAAAAATAAAAAAAATTACATCCCATTCCTAAAAAAACCTCCCACCAGCTTATTTACAGCATTGTGATAGGTTTTTGCTAGCAACTTGATAAAAAAATGTCTGCAAGGATTTGAACTCTACAGTTGAAAGGCATATGAACTTATTCATATTTTGTGAATATTTTTACATATTTTGTGAGTACCCTGTGAGTAAAAATAATATTCCCTAAAACCTCATAAATATTATACTGAAAGTAGTGGACAGCCGGGCATGGTGGCTGAAGCCTGGAATCCCAACACTTTGGGAGGCCGAGGCGGGTGGATCACTTGAGGTTAGGAGTTTGAGACCAGCCTAGCCAACGTGGTAAAACCCTGCCTCTACTAAAAGCACAAAAATTAACTGGGCATGATGGCATGCGCCTGTAATCCCAGCTACTCTGGAGGCTGAGGCAGGAGAATTGTTTGAACTTGGCAGGTGGAGGCTGCAGTGAGTGTTACTGTGCCACAGCACTCCATCCTGGGTGACAGATTGAGACTCAGTCTCAAAAAAAAAAAAAAAAAAGAAAGAAAGAAAAAAAGAAAGTAGTTGATATTAACCACAGTTGATTTATACAAGTTGATGAGTCTGTCCTTTAATCACAGAATTATAAAGAAATTCTTGAAGAGAAAAATGTTTGGATTCCTTAGTAGCTGTCTCTAAGAAGAAAGGAGAAAAGTAAAATATTCTTATAAAGAAGATAAACACTTACTGGTACTTTGAAGGGTGAGGTATTTGCAGTGTCCATGGAGTTGGGTTTCTCTGATGTACTGGTCCCTGAGATACTGCGTCTACGAGGGGACCTTTCTGCTGGTACCTCTGGAAGAAAGGAGGAAGGCTGAAACATCATTAAGAACCCCAAATTTAGGATATTCCACTAAACTGTAAAGTTATTGGTTTTTCACAACAAACCAGCATGCTTTAAAGGTACATTACATTCTGTCTCACATAATTTGTCTATCTTTGAGGTGCTTAAACTATCAAGACACTAGAGAGACTTGGTCACAGTTAAGAATCTGCTTTAGTGTGACAGACTATATTTTCATCTGAGCACATATAAAAATAATTTCCTTTGAGCTATGTTTAATATCTTTAAGTTCACTTAGTAGTTGTATCTCACAGTATATAAATCTACTTCTCTATGTGTTAGCAATGTAGGAGTTAATAGAATAAAATGGAAATTCTAATATTCTTGTGAACAAAATATAGTCTAATGTTGCATATGATTTGATGGTGTTTGCACAAAGGTCAAAGTTAGTTCTGTGCAGATAAGATGATTCACCAGACTGCAACAAAAGGGCCATGAGAAGACTGAAAGCTGCTGCCAAGATAAAATAACATATATGCCTATGCAGACATAAAAATAGATCAGCTTCTCCTTGTTCTGGCAATATGACCTTACTAAGATCTTACTCTGGAATCCTAAATCTGTTCAAACTGACCTAACAAGCTGAGGAATTTTGCAGATAATGTGATCTTCTCCTATTTAATTACTATATACTGTATTAAGGCTACATTTTTAAGATTTTTTCATAGAGTGATATATATATATACATGTGTATATATATATACATACACACGCACACATAGATGATAGATATATAGGTATTATACCTTTATCACAACTGCTTCCCATCGCCACTTCAACTGACAGACATAAAGGAATCCAGCTTCTCAGATAACATTAGATAATCTCAACATGGACAAGGAAAAAAAAAGCCACAGCCTAAAAAAAGTATTCTGTGTTATCTTCCAGATCTTAGAAAATAAGGAGTAAATTGTAACTCCGGAGACTGACATTTTGATTCCTGCTGTTCTCCCTTTAAAAGATAGATGCAGTTTAAACTTCCATTTCTGGCCTCCTGGCCCCTGGGATCCGTGCTACTTCCACTTAAGAGAGAGCGTTTTTTCTCTCGCTCCCTCTCTGTGTCTTGCTCTTCCCCCTCCCTCTCCACAGCTTGCAGAGAGAGCAAGCAAGAAAGAAACACACAGGACTGCAGCTATTCAATCAATCGTTCTGACTGCACATCCTCATTAGTTACTTTCGGGCTATTAACAGACGCCCAACCACTGCCTTCCCTCAGTTACTGAAAATTTCACTGTATTACACTAATCTGCAGCAAGCAAAAACATTTACTGAAATGTATATTCAGCTAGTGCCAAAAGGACACCATTTTACACAGACCCAGTAATGCACACAAATCAATTCCTCCTATGAAAATTTACTATCTTTGCATGCTGGACACTGATTTTCTTTTCCATGACTAAACATACCTTCTCTGTGACATCTTGACTGGTAAGGCATAAGCCAAATTGGAACATTCCTAAAGATTCAGAGGCTGACAACATAGCATCTTATATGCTTGCAGTACAAGAGAGTTCCATACTACTACTGTATTTTAAAATTAAGACCAGTAACTCTAAGTCCCTTAACTTCTCTCTAACCATCGCTAGTTAAATGAGCCTTAATGTACAAAGCCGTTTTCAGAATTAGGCACACATGACTTCTAATGCACATCTCTGAAAAATGGCAGCATAATTAGCTCAGATTCATGGGAATGGCACAAAGCACTGAATTTAAGTAAATCAGCTTGTTGGAGCACATTGAACAGAAAGACTTCCAGACTTCAGGAATATGACTTTACAGAATAATTACCTAAGTTAGATGACTCTACGTGGCTGGGGCAAGGCAGGCAGGGAATGGGGCTGGTGAAGGTAGAAAAAATATCTCACCTTTCCTCTAATAATTACCTATAAAGGTAACCTCATATCAAATTAGAAGATACTGGAGATTTAATATTACAATATAGTATGTTTTAATTTCTGAATAATTGACAGAGAAACCAAACTGGAAGAAAAATAAGTTTCATTAGCTGGGATAAAATGATCTAGTAAACCATTTCCTTAATTTGCAATGTTCTGGCTAAGGAAAAAAACTGAAATTAATTTCCTCACTTTCTTCCAAACATCCAATTTTAGCTTTCGGGCATACAAACTCATTAAATGAATATGTTTCAAAGCTTTTAATTATTTGAAATTATATTGACTAAAATTAGTGGCCACATTTCAAACTCCAATAAATATGGTATTGTTATACTTCTGTTTTTTTCTCTTTTTAAATTCTCTTTCTGTATCATGGGAAAAAAATACAATGCTGATGTAGCTTATAGGATGCATTACTGGGTCCAGAAAGAAGATATTAAATCATTCCTGAAGTTTGAACAATTTCCACTAAAGAGGGGAAAGAAAAGAAATAAGGTAAGCTAAATTACCTAACGAAAAGAAGTTTACAGCCGCTTTCTCAACCCCCACAAGAATACCACTCATCTGCTCGTGTAGAATAGGCCATTGGAGAATCCCAATTCTTTAGTTCTCAGAAGATTCATAACTACTTCAAAGCATACAGAAAAATAAATACCCCAAGTACCAATGTCCACTTAGAAGCAAGGTAGCAGCATTAGCAAGAGCGGAAGGAGCAACCTGCTGGATTAGTCACAGGATGGACTGCATATTAAACTTGTGCCTTTAACTTTAAATCTGTAAGCAGAAAGGAAAGTTGCTACTATGCTCTAAGAGCTGCATTTCTGCTCAGTTTGAAGGAAAATCTATACTAGTTCCAGTAGACCAAAATTAGACAGCTGTATCCTCTACTCCCACTCATGCTACATACTATTGCATTATTTTCACCTGCTGTAAAATTAATATTCTTTTCATAGTGACAATATTTAATTACAGTCATTTTAAAATATGCTCATTCTCTAAGACTGATGAGACAAGAGAGATACAATATTGTTTCAGATAAAGGCCTGAAACTGCCTCACTTTCTCATCTCTAAAAATAATATTTTTCATCTTCAGATTGAAAGGCAAAAAGAGTTATAAAAAGCCTGGTTAAGTTTTAAATTTATCTCTTCATTTCCTTTGCCATTGGATATGACCTCAGATGATGTGACGACTTATATTGATGAGAGATAACCTCCAATAGAGCCGCATATAGAATGATGTATTGAACAAAGAGAACATCTGGATGTTTTTCTTAGCAGCTCTACCAATGATATGTACGATTCTGTGTAAGCCATTTCACCTTTTCTGTCCTGGTCTTCACCATTTAATAAACTGGGTTATCCAGACCAAACAGAGATAAAGACAAGATTAATGAGTTTATATGCTTTGATGCAAAGTTAGCTTTCTGGGAGGAAGAACCTTTTAAAATCCAAAATAGAGTAGTATCATTTCCTCAACATACACATTTTCCTCTATGTCAACGCGCTTTCTTTGGAAAGTGTGGCAAAGAAATTGAAAACTGGATAATTATAGGGGCAAATGTACTTTTGGTGGAGGATATTCCTGTTCAACAAACAGGAGTCAATTTCTGCCTTAGAACCTAATAGTGTACACACTGCCTTTGGTTCACTTACCAGGGAATAAATGCCAAAAATTCCTATCATGTATTTTGGAGGACGCTAAGGAGTAAGTTAGAAGGTGACAAGTGTTTTGGGGGAAATAAAAAGTAGTCAGGGAGATGAAGAAGTAGAGTAATTTTAAATAGGTAGTTGCATTGCAAAAGTGAGGTATGAGTCAATACTTCAGGAGGTAAGAAGTCAGCCTTGCAGGTTTAACACGGAAGAAGACTACAGGTAGAGGGAGGCTAGCACAAAGCTTCTAAGGTAAAGTGCAGCAAAGAGGCCAGTGGGATTGATGCCAGTGAGTGGGAACAAATAGTAGGAGATAAAGTCTGAGAGGAACTGGGTCAGACGTGTTCAGATAATACTGGCCAATATAAGGACAGTGACAGAAGAAAATGTATATGCTAAGGAAATGACATTATAATACTATTACATTTTAGATTTAAAGAACCCCTTTCTTCCAAAAAGCTAATTTTGTACCAAAACACATAAACTCATTAATCTTCTTTTGTAAGGTCTTTTTTTAACTCTAAAAGAAAAACCACTTGCTCAGACATGTGTCGCCAAAAGGTACTAATCATATTGAAAGTCCACAGATATACACTTACTGGTATTTCTTAACTCTTTTATTTGTCTTTCTTTTTTTTGAGACAGTCGCCCAGGCTGGAGTGCGGTGGTATGATATGGGCTCACTACAACCTCCACCTCTGGGATTCAAGTGATACTCCCACCTCAGCCTCCTGAGTAGCTGGGACTATAAGTGTGTGCCACCATGCCCATTTCTAGAGAGGTTGTTTCATCATCTTACCTAGGCTAGTCTCTAACTCCTGGGCTCAAATGATCCACCCGCCTTGGCCTCCCAAAGTGTGAGGGTTACAGGCTTGAGACCACTGCACCAGGCCAATTTTCTCTTCAGGATTTTGAATAATGAATGTGATTCAGAATAAATCTGGAATATTATTATGTTTGGAAAGAGAGTAAAGTGAAATGTTTATCACATTAACTGAGGGTTAGGTTCCAAAAGCCTCTGAAAATATCTTAAATGAGAAAGGTATCTGCTATACAATGTCATTACTGTATGGTCAAATATCTATAGGCATCAATTACATTAATTACATTTACTTTTTGTTCAATCTTGTTTAACCGAAGTTCATATGCCATACAATATTTGCATATACTTAACTAATATAAATAACATAAATTTCTTATAATGTCTACCATTTTTAGAATTAGTTACCATAGTGTAAAAAACAGGTAAAGATAATAATTTATTTTTTTTCTTTTAAAAGAAAGTGTTATACTATAAAAGCTATTTAAGCACCTCTTTGTGAATAATTTGTCTAGGGAAAATATTTTTATTATAATTTTAGCTCGTATTGAGTTTGTGTGTGTCTGTGTGTGTGTGTGTTTTTAG